ACCCAGTAAGTATCAAGCCTAACGAGGCCAGGTCAAGACACTTACTAGATATAGAAACCTGTACAAGATATGCATGAATCTGACAATAGAAAGAACATCAATGTAAGGCTGACGACAGAAAGATTATTGATTTACAAGCAACAATGAATAATAGAAACGCAAATGGCAGCAAGTAGTAAACGGGTAATAGAGAAGCAACATAATCAGGACACCGATGATACATGAATGAACTCAAATAAGGAGGAACTAATAACAACTTAGATAATCAAATTGTTCCCAATGCATGAGCCTAACACAAGTTTTACCCCGAGGCACCACACCTCATAAATCATAAATCATGGACCACAATTTCCAAATCTTATGCATATGGCACCTCGTGCCCACAATAACAAGTACATTCACACGGCACGGCCCACGAGCTATCATGTACATTACAACCATAACAAATATCAATTAAAATGATCAAGAGTTATATTTAAACACCATAAACATAATAACAATCTTGAATAAAATAAGGAATCAAATGAAAGAATCAGTTTATTTTGAAAATCAATTAAAGTAAAATAAAATATAATTTATACAAAATAGAGTATCATATGGGTTAGTTTAGAAATTGGTAAAATTGAGTAAAATGTCATATTTAAATAAAGAAAAACATCAGTTAATCAAACAAATTAAATATAGAATTTGTTAAAGAAAGACATGATAACAATTTTAAGTAAGGTAAACATCTAACAAGGTGATGAGTATCATTTGAAAACCAACTTATAGTGATAGTGTGACAACCATTTAGAATAATAAGGCACCGAGTGAGACAGTGAGTTCTATCTTCAGAGACACATAGAATAAAGCATGTCAATAATTCTATTATTTAAATCATATGTTACCAACAACTCAACATAATATGATATAATGACTCCACATAATTAAATTCACAATGACAATCAATTTACCAAATTATAGCGGAGGCACAGATTGGCATGTTAAAGCAACACACCAAATCACGTAAAACGCATGACCACAAGAAGCCACAATCATTCCAATACCAAGATAATAATAAATAACCAAATACAATTAAAATGCGGATGAATGATTGAAGGAAGAACAATAACAGTTCAAATTAATAAGTTGTCCTAACATAGAATGTACAATAAGAATCACAACTGAGGTACCGCCTCGAAATCAAATTTCACGAGCCATATACACAATATTCCTTATACCGCCACGTGAGCCTTACATTTAGATAGTTTTGAAAATATTTTTTTCCGAAATAGCTACATACACTTTAGCCCACCTAATATCGCCGCGTGGTTTCAAGTAATTCCACCTTATACTGTCGCATGCACATTAACCCATATTATTATACATCCACATGCGCATCAATATTACAATACAATAACAACTCGCACCACAAGTGCCCATATGCCAAAACTTGCCAAAAATCATCAGTACCAAAGTTTTCACAATATATAGCCCATGGCTCAACCACAATATGAATAATAATCTCAATAATAACAAAATAAAGGTGAATAGCTCAACAAGAAAGATATCTCAACAATTAACAACTTTGCCTCGACGTAATAATGACTTTTACAACTTCAACACGAATAACTCAACAAGAAGGTATTCCATGAAATAACAACTTCAAGTAAGCTATTCAACAATTAAAGAATTAATAACATAATAAGGAAAGCAATAACTTCAACTAAAGTGTTTAAGAGCAAAATAACAAGTAAGAGATAGAGCAAGTGTTAACAATGTCAAATAAAGCATATAAGGATAGATTAACACATGTAAGGGTAAATTAACATAGAAAAATATAACATGTTATGACAATTCAATTAAAGGCAAGAAAAGAGTCTAAATAGCCTAAATCGGTCAAATACCACATGTAGCACGTGTACCCACTCGTCACCTTGCGTACATGACTTTCATATCACAAATAGTACAATCAACCCAAATCCTAAAGGTAGTTCTCCCACACAAAGTTAGGCAAGATACTTACCTCAAAGAAACTAAATAAATACTTTAAGAAGTCTTTCCCGTGTGAAACAACCTTCGGACGGCTTGAATCCAACCAAAATAACTTAATATCATAAATAAAAGTCATAGAAAATAATTTCGAATAATAAAGCTTCGATTTTTAATGAAAACAAAAATTCAACCCCCGGGCCCGCACCTCAGAACCCGACAAAACTCACAAATTTCGAACATTCATTCCGATACGAGTCTAATCATGCCAAAATTATTCAATTTCAACCTCAAATTGGCTTTCAAACCATCAATTTAAATTTTAGAAAGTTTTTACTAAAATTTCCAATTTCTCCAAGTCAAATTATTAATCAAACATTAAAATCGAGGTTCGAATCATGAAATAATAATAAATTCGAGTAAAAAATACTTACCCCAATTCAATTAGTAAAAATTCCCTTTAAAATCACCCAAAACCAAGCTCTAAAACTTTGTGAGAAAAAGTAACTAAATTCCGAAACAAGAAAAAAATGCAACGGCTATCCCAGCTCTATTTAGGTCGTAGATAATCCCGAAACTTACGATTGATAATTCCAACACGATCCTTTCAAGATTACACCCAAGAACTTGAATCACCGAATTTGACCTTAAAATGAAGGAGATATAATGATTTGAAGTTTTAAAAGAAATCTGATAATTTCAACGGCATTTTCGTAATTATTTACGCCAGGAAGAAAAACAGCAATAAGAAAATCTCCATTTTAGCATCCAAAACTCATTCGGAACCTTCCGGACACAAACCATATCTGAATTTTGATCATAAAACACGCTATGAACCTGCTCGCGCACTCAAAACGCTGAAAAGACATCATCTTGATCCGATATTGACCATGGTCAAACTTTAAATCTTTAACATAACTCGTTTTTCACCCAATAATCCGAAATACACCCGAGCTTCTTAGGACCCCATACAATCATATCGACAAGTACAAATACATCATTCAAACTTTTTCAAAGCCTCAAAATACCCACGGGAATATCACAACAAAGAATCGAGGCGCAAAACGAATATAATTTCTCTTAAGTTGTTAAATCATCATTCTTTCAAAAGACTATTTGAATCATACTTAAACACTTCGGATTACTTTCAAAGTTTGTACACAATTTCAATTCAACTTATAGACCTATCAAAGTCTCGAAATACCAATTAGAGTCCAATAACATCAAAGTCAACTCTTGGTCAAACTTTTGAATTCTTAAGTTATTCAAATTGCCAACTTTCGACAAATAGTGTCGAATTCTTCTAGGAACCTCCGAAACCATATCCGAACATACGTACAAGTCTAAAATTATCATACGAACCTATCGGAATAATCAAAATCCGATATTGAGTCCGTTTACCCAAAAGTCTACCTTGGTCAACTCTTCCAACTTAAAGCTTCTAAAACGAGAATCATTCTTCCAAATCAATCCCAAACTGCTCGAAAACTAAAACCAACCATACATGCAAGTCATAATACATATATGTGAAGCTATTCAAAGTCTCAAACCACCTAATAAAATGCTAAAGCCCGGATCGTTACATTAACTTTGGTAATAGGATTGATGGACTATCATGTTTTAATTTCCTTCATTTTGTGAGACCTCCAGACATTATTTGTATTTTGTATTTTATTTTCATTAGTAATAGAAAAAAACCACCACTAAGCATACAACTTAGTGGTATATTTGCTAAAAAAAGAGAGAAAAAGAGTACAAATATTTTGAGCGTAGATATTTTACTGGAAAGAATAAAATAAAAAAAAATTACAACAAATAACAAGAATATTAAAGTGAAAAGAGTGAGGGATTAACTTGAAAGAACAAAAGTAAATAAAAAATAAAAGGAAAATTAACTATAAAAAAGAAAAGAAAGTTAAAAAAAGAAAAATAAAGAGAGTGCAAAATTTAAAATTTTATTAAAAAATAAAAAAACATAAAATTAAAAATAAAAAAGCAAGAAAATGATAAATGTTTTGGATTAAAAGATTTACCCGAACGCACAAATTTAAGAAAATAAAGAAATACAATAAAAAATAAAGTGAAAAAGAGTAAGGGATTATTATTTTAAAAAGAAAAAAATAACTATAAAAACGAGAAGAAAATAAAAACTGAAAAAGAGTAAAATATTTTATTAGAAAGAAAAAATAAAGTGAAAAATNGTTTAGGTGGAGCTTGGGCATAGGAAGGGAGAGGGCATAATCTTCAAAAGGGGCATATTCTGTCATTTTTTAAAAAGTGAACATTTAGGTCATAAAGTTTTTAAAAGAGGCTCTTAGCGTACAATTTTTAATTGGGTTATAAAATAAATAGAGCGGGGTATATGATACCCGGCGTGGACTGAAACTATAGGAGCCACGTGACCCAATAAAATACTGCCAACATATTAAAAGTTGGGCCCATATGTTTTGCCGTTAAATCGAGGGATAACTATAAGAATAAAAATAACATTGTGTATGTTTATGACCAAAAGGTGTATGGAAGATAATTTTAAATTATTTATCAAATAATAGAAGATAATTTTGATACTTTTTCGTAAGGATAAAACAAAAATATTAATGCCAAAGATGTCTTTTTTCGGGATAAACTAATATAAAAATAGTGTCATATCAAATGAAACTGAATATTCAATTTGAGTCATCACAAATGCAAAGAAAGCAATGCTATGCAGCTGTTTGGACATAGTAATTATAAAATTCCAAAAAAATGTGGAAAAAAATTTCTAAGTGAAAATGATATTTGAAAATTAGAGTTGTGTTTGGACATGAATATAATTTTGGGTTATTTTTGAAGTTTTGTTAGTGATAAGAGTGAAAATTTTGAAAAATAGCTTTTTGGAGTTTTTTAAATTTTTAAAAAGTTCAAAATTCATTTTCAAGTGAAAATTAAAAATTTTATGACAAAAAATTGACTTAAAAAAAAGTGCATTTTTTTTTTTTGAAAAAAAAAAATTCTCATGTTCAAACGGGCTCAAGACTAGCCAAGAAAAACTCTTCAACTAGGTAGGACATTGATGCCAAGGGAAAATGCTACAGCGCTCATTCAACTCTCCACCTCCTTTTCCAGCTTTGAATGAACAGTTGAAGTCCTTGATCTTCTTGAAAGAATGGAACTTGAACCATCTCAAGCAGATCAACTCTGTTCTCATCACTTGTGGCCTCTCACATCACAGTTCCTATATCAGCAAACTGCTCCGCCTTTGCCTACTTCTTCCTTCGTTCCCATCTTCTTATGCTTCTTCTCTCTTCAATCAAATAAAAAGACCCACCATACATACATGGAACGTCATGTTCAAAGGCTTTTCTATTACTTCACACCCTCACAAGTCCATTAATTTCTATATGCAAATGCGTCAAGATGGGATTTTTCCAAATAAACATACCTTCCCTTTACTTCTAAGAGCCTTTTCTAAAGCCAAAAATGAAAACCCAGTTATTCTTTTAGCTCAAATATTTAAGTTCGGATACATTTCTGACCAGTTTGTGCAGAATTCTTTGGTTTATACTTTGGCTAGCAGTGCTTATGTTGATCTTGCACGCCAAGTGTTTGATGAAATTACGAACAAGGATGTGCTTTCTTATACTGCTTTAATTGATGGGTATGCCAGGAATGGTCTGCCCGTTAAGGCTTTGGAGCTTTTTGTGGAGATGAGGCAAGCAGAAGTTAAGGTGGATGAGGTGGCTGTTGTAGCAGCTCTTTCTCCTGCTGGAACATTAAAATTTGTTTGGTTTGGTAGGTGTCTTCATGGTTTCTATGTGGAGGCTGGGAGGGTTTCTAGTGATGTTTACATTGGTAGCGCTCTTGTTGATATGTATGCTAAATGTGGATTTTGTGATGATGCCTTGAAAGTTTTTGAAGACATGCCTTACAAGAATCTTATTTCTTGGAGTGCTATGATTGCTGGATTTGTACACTGTAATAGGTTAAGGGAAGCACTCTGTGTTTTCCAAGAGATGCTGGCTGGAAGAGTTGTTCCCAATCAAGTAACATTGACAAGTGTTCTCAGTGCATCTACTAGGCTTGGGGCACTGGAGCAGGGCAGATGGGTTGCTCGTTATATAAAAGCACATAAAATAGAAATCAACGCGGCACTTGGCACTGCTTTGATAGATATGTATGCAAAGTGTGGGTGTATCGACGAGGCATTATTGGTTTTCGAGAAGTTACCAGAAAAAGGTGTTTATGTATGGACTGCTATGATCAATGGCTTGGCAACACATGGTGATGCTGAGAAGTCCTTGGCCTTCTTCTTAGAAATGTTAAGCAATGGTTTAAGACCCAATGAAGTAACTTTCGTTGGCATTCTCGGTGCTTGTTCTCATGGAGGACTCGTGGATGAAGGATGGCGGTTGTTCTCATTAATGGACCAAGTTTATCGTGTAAAACCTAATATAGATCATTATGGCTGTATGGTCGATCTCTTAGGCCGGGCAGGTTATTTGGAAGAAGCTTGTAGATTGATCCAAGACATGCCAATGGAACCTACTCCTAGCATATGGGGCGCTCTCTTTGGTTCTTGCATGATTCACAAGGCTTATGACTTAGGTGAATGGATAGGAAGACATCTAATCGACATACAGCCTTATCATAGTGGCAGATATACACTCTTGGCAAACTTGTATTCGACTTGTAAAAACTGGGAAGGGGTAGCTCAAGTTAGGAAAATGATGAGAGAGATGGGTGTGGAAAAGATCCGGGGGTGTAGTTGGATTGAATTGAACGGGGAAGTGCATGAGTTTATTGCCTTTGACGGTTCACATGCTAAGTCTGAATACATTTACTCCGTTTTAGATAACCTATTCGGTCAAATACAACACATTACTATTTTTCCAGATGCTGATTCTTTAGTTCTTGAGAATAGCTGAAAGTAACCAGAGTTTAGATATGCTGAACGTCCAATAAAGCCTTAGTTAACCTGACTTTATTTGCATAATGCTTGTTTTATATATTGGTTTCAACTTGAAGTTTAGTGAAAAGCTCTAATCTGACCTTATGTATTTGCTTACTAATATTTAGACACAATGATAAGTGTTCCTTCAAAGGCATAGTGTTAATTTGTTGCTTGTTTGTCTATTTTGTTGTGGTTTTCTCATGTGAGCATGGATATGGAAATCAAACAGCAAACACAATACTAGAAATAGGGGAGAAGATGGGGATAGAATTATAGGACATAATAGAATCTAATAAAAGAAAACAACTAGTCAACGCAAGCAAGACTACTCAGACCTACTAATTAGCAGTTCAACACAAGAGATCAGTACAAGGAGAAGTGATACATGAAATTACTTACAAGAAGAATTCCAGAGAATAGGACAATCCCACAAAGGGAGGATCTCTCAAGAGACTCATAATTAATCCTCATGGTAATGGAGATGGTTTTGTGAAGTAATGTGGGCTTAAGTAGCCAGATGGTGCAGTAGCTTGTTCAATTATAGCCCTGAGGATTTTAAATCAGCATGGTTTGAGAATAATAAATCCTCATAGTAATGGCAGCCACAACACCGGCCAGGGTGTAGCGTGCCTTGGCAGGCTATTTTATCTTATAAATAGTAGTAGTAAATTTTGTTCATACTTTGAGCTGTAATATTAACAATATAGTATTTTGTTTAATAAGCAATAGTAAATATAATGCTACCGATTTAGTCCCATTTTTTTTTTTCGAAAATCATTTATATATGTAATATTTTGAGTCAACTTCATCATCACAAAATTTGCATATTTTCAGCTAAAAAAGAATAGTTAAGAACACTTAATTTTAACCCTCACACAATTATTTTCTTAAGATTCAGTATATATTTTTAAAAATTATTTTCACAATTTTAGGAATTTAATAAAGGAAAAGAAAAATATAGTTTCTCGTTTGATCTTTCTCATTACCTTTTACATTTTTGAAATTCCCTTTTTCGCTTTTTATTATTTTTCTCGTCTAACTGTACCCTTCTTTTCCTTATCTTTTTATTTGTCGTTAATTTTCTCTCGTCTTATAACATATTTGCATTACTCAAAAATTAGTTACCCTATTAATTTGCAATAATTTTTGTCCAATATTTTTAACGCCAAATGATCTTGGTCTCTATTATCAGTAATTTAACCTGGAAAGAGAAATCACTATTATAAATCCGGGAAAAACCATCCAAAAAAACTGACCAAAGTAGGTCGGTAATGGCCAATAACCGTCCAAAACACGACCATTCACGTGTGGTCGGTATTTTGAAGGTCGGGAGGGCATACCGACCAAAGTTGGTCGGAAATTATCGACCAACATTGGTCGGCATGCTCTACAAGACCATCTGACAATTTTCGACCAAAATTAGTCGGAATATTATTTTAATAATTTAATTTTACCGACCAAACTTGGTCGCTGTATTAAATTTATTAATTTTATGTACCGACCAATTTTGGTCGGTATTGAAAAATATTTTTTTTTATAAATAATTAAAATTTAAAAATACCGACCAACTTTGGTCGGTAAACTAGACAGGGCAGACAACGAACCGACCAAAGTTGGTCGGTAATGTTGAATTTCTGGGAATTCATTGTACATTAACCGACCAACATTGGTCGGTAATGTGCAATTTTTTTAATTAGTCACCGACTAAGGTTGATCGGTTTCATGGGTTTAATTTTGGCAAAAAATGCTTGTTTTGGTAGCTACATCACCTGCCAAATAAAAATAGCATATCAATATCCTCGATCCACATCTAATAACCACTAATTCACCACATACAACCCCTAATTTACTACAAATCCAACCAAATATCCAACAACAATCAAACATCCAATTAATACTTTAAAACTAACAAATTAAAGTTCAATTGAACATCCCAATCCAAAATCAAGCAAAAACTAATTACAACAAGTTCAAAATTATTCAATCAAATTCAAAACTAGTTCAATTAGTCTAGTTCAAAGTATATCAAAGTATTGGTCAAAGGGTATTTTCTACAAGATCATCACCATCTGATGAACTTTTATCTACAAGACTGTATAGAGAACGATTTTATTGAGGACGGGAAGAACGATCACGGGGAGGACAAGAGGAACGATCACGTGGAGGTCGAGCCTCTGGTGACGACTCATGAGACCGGGGCAACGGAAAAGCTCTAGTGGAAAGTAGAGTTCTTATCTGAGCTTGCATATCAAGGAATTGAGCATCTCTAAGTCTTTCTCTTTCCTTGGCCACTTCTAGCTCGGATGTAAGGTTGTCACTGTCTCCCAGATAGCGGAGAGGCTCTCCCTATTAAGTCACTCGCCTTGTGAGGAAGTCCCTATTCCTTGCATTCCACGCCTATGGCGATGGAATTTTTTTGCAGGAAGCCCCTATACCTTCCTCCATTTTGGACCGCCAACAGCCTCCAACCATATTCTTTCAGTATCCTCGTCCGAAGATTGGGTTGGCTCGCCCGATTCACTAGCTGGCTGACTACGAATGAATTCCTCCATGTTACTTTGGTAGCGACCCTATATTATTTTAAATTAAATTAGTATTTAAAAATTCTTATAAAAGTAAATTATAATACTTAAATAAGATTAAAAGCTTATATATGTAGTCTCTGCCTAGTCCTCGACCCACCTATCTCCATCCCCTCTTTCTTCTTCTTTAAAATATGCGTCTCCTTGAATAGCTCATTGGACGTCCATACTTCTTTCCTGAAAATAAATTAATTTAGTTAATAAATAGAATTGATGTACTTAAAAAATTAAAATAATTTAAGAAATTACCAATCTTCTTTTTATTGTCCCCAGGCTGATAGCACCCCCAATGTGCAAGGAGCCTCTCTTCTCGGATGAGCGAGATTTCTTTCCTTTTTCGCTTCTCTATAAGAAATTCGCGGGTCTGCCATTGCCTTAACAAATTATCCCATAAATGTTGCAGAAACCAAACATGCCTCTTGTTCTTCTTTCTACCATCCGGGAAATGATCCGCCAATCTCTTGCGAGCTTTATGATGAAATTTACAGCAACTTTCTTGCTATAGCGGTCTTCCAATACACACTTGCTCTGCATTTCAAAAGTTAAATATTAGATGGAAACATCATAAATATTAATTATTAAACTACTTAAAAGAATATTTATACCTTAAACTGATTGAAAATTTTCTCCTTTAGCGAAAATGAAAAATCAGTCCAAGTCGTATAAGGGCCATCATAAAGCTTTTTTATCGCATTGGTGATTATCTTCGTAGTCTGCTTACCCGGCTTGAACCTTCAATTTAACAATTAAAACATATTAATATATTAGTAAAAATATTATAAAACAATAAACACAAAAATAACAAATAACTCTAACCTGTCACACTCATGGTCTATGATGATCCTGCCATAGCGATCATAATGCACTACCTCTGGATCATCATCCTCAGCATGTGTATCAGAGGCATGTGTAGATGGTGTAGGGGGCTCAGAGCAACTATCTTGTAGGTGATGCTTGAAATGGATGGAGTCGATGATGAAGATAGCTGCGATCTGTATGACTGCGACATAGCTGGATGCGATCCATGTGGTTGTGATACTGATGGATGTGACCCGAGTGGTTGTGATATAGATGGATGTGATCCATGTGGCTGTGATATGTAGGAATGCGATCCACGTGGCTGTGAGGCAGCTGGACTGTATGTCAGACATATAGTCCTATGGCTCTGTGATGGAAGACCTGGTGTCTGGATGAAGGTGTAGGCCTCGTGATGCCGTGGCAGCTCAGTATATCCGTTTAGTGGAGGATAAGACATAGGCATCTCTGAAGAGGGTGGAAAAGAGGAAATATTATTATCTACCCTCCTCTTTCCCTTTCTAGCCTTTTCTCGACCCCGAGAACTAGTAGGACCATTGTTACCTTGACTCTTGCCTGCCATCTGCATAATATAATACATATTTAGATTTAAACATATAAGAAACTAGGTATAAAATGAGAGTGCTTTAAAAAATCAACTTTTAATCCTCGTCGACGTATTGCTCCTCGTCCGAGAATTCTTCGTCCTCACTTGTTTGAATTTCATCAATTGATTCTTTGTCCTAATTTTCTATAATTGTTACTTCATTTATATCAACTTCTTCAAATATGCTTTCAGGATGTTCCAAATCATTTTTTAACTGATCATCCACTATTTGGTGAACACTGGAGATATCATTTTGATATGCAATATCTAATACATCCTCGACTTCCACCCTACCTACAGGCTTAGTTTTGATTACAACCCACCAATTGGACTTATTCCGCTGTAATGGATAAAGAACATAATATACTTTCCTAACGTTATGTGCAATTATGAAAGGATCATAGCGATCATACTCCCTCGTATGATTAACCTCAATTATGTTGTATTGGTGGTGTACTCTTGTACATCTTGTTGGATTGTGACAACCCGACCAGTTGTCTCATGAGTTACCGCTCTGTTTCCCCCATTTTTACTTCTTATTGCTTTGTTTATTGGTTATATATGTGATCAGGTTGGTTTGCTCGGGTTCGGAAAGGTTTTGAGAAGGTTTGAGACACTTAGTCTCTTTTGAAGAAAGCTTAAGTTGGAAAAGTCAACTGGATGTTGACTTATGTTAAAGAACTTGGATGTGAGTTCTGATGGTTCGGATAGCTTCGGGAGGTGATTTGGGACTTAGGAGCGTGATCGGAATGTGTTTTGGAGGTCCAGGGTAGATTTAGGCTTGAATTGGCGAAATTGGAATTTTGGCGTTTTCCGGTTGATAGGTGAAATTTTGGTATAGGGTTCGGAATGGAATTCTGGGAGTTCCAGTAGTTCCATTGAGTCATTTGATATGTGTGTGCAAAATTTCAGTTCATTCGGACATGGTTTGGTAGACTTTTTGATCAAAAGAATAATTTAGAAGATTTTGGAATTCTTAGGCTTGAATCCGATGCAAATTTGGTGTTTTGATGTTGTTTTGAGCGTTCCGAAGATTGGAACAAGTTTGAATGATGTTACGGGATATGTTGGCATATTTTGTTGAGGTCCTGAGGGCTTCGGGCGAGTTTCGGGTGGTCAATCGGACCATTTCAAGTTGTTGGAGATTGCAAAAAACTGCTGTTAAG